GGAAGATATTGAACATGCACTGGTAGTGCAGTACTAATTCAATAATTTCCATATTCTAATTTCTGAGAGCAGTCAAGTCTTTTGGCAAATTAACCCGTGCGTCGAAAATTATTTGTATCGCAAAACTAATGTGGATCACAGTGCGAAAAAGTTCATCTTACGGATGTAAAACATTTTATTTTAAAAATGTATATTGAAATTCATCAATAACTGAAAAATATCTTTTTTAAATTCATGTAAAATCTTTCAATTGACAAATATCACTATTAAAGAGTTTTCCTAACCAAAGAAGAAAACATAAAAATATCGATTTCATGATTTATTGTCTTTTGAAAAATAAAAAAATTCACAAAACAGTCGATAGGAACCAGATATTTCCATAAAGTTTGTACTTGTACAAAAATTTATTTCCATCATTTAAATATCCATCTCAGAATTTTTTTCATTTTTATTCATTGAAAAATTCGTTTAAAATAGATTATTATTAAAAAGGCAAGAGAGATTGCGAATTATATGAGGTATAGTTTATATGAAAATATTACGTCATATAATTATAAGCGTTTCCATCCACACTACGTTCCATGCGACACTCACACATTCTGTTTACTCGCTAATTTAAACTAAGCAATATATCAAATATCACATGTATTTGTTTTGACCGATACTCTTTGGGTATATTTGGAAGAGATAAGCGATAATATCGATAATGCTATCCAATATATTCTCATCAAAACGACAATTTATGGCAATATCAAAAAGAAAGGACAGTAATTATATTAGGTACATTGTATTTAAAAAAAATGTGAATCAAATATTTCGATACAATCAACAAAAAGCAGCGAATATATTTGTATGTACAATTTTATTATTTTCATTTTCATAGTCACTTTATCAGCATTTTCAATTGAATGATTGTTATCAAACGATTTAGTGACTATTTTGATTTTAATATCTTTCATAACATACAGTACCACACCACCTCCCTTGTTGCGATCGGATGGTTTTGAACGAAGATCGCTACGAAGAATTTTGAAACCATTGACTTCGATTGATTTTTTGTATTTATTACGAAGCCAAGATTCATTTATACCCGCAAAATGAATATTCTTCATTTTTAAATTCGTTAATATGACATGCTTCAAGCATTCCAGGTATGTGTGACTAATATGCGAAAGCGGCGTTAGCAAACCCATTTCATGGTTGCAAAAGTCGGTCAATCCAAATGAACCTGATGGAACCCGAAATGAAAATCAGGTTTCTTAATAAAGCCAATATGAATCGGTGGTCGTATAAGTCGTAAATCAGCTCTTTGGATAAATTTCTTCACATCTTTGTCATCGAGCGTCAGTGTAGTATTTCCAAACCATCGAAACATATCCGCGAGATAAAATGGCGAAGGATGTTTAATGTCATACATTCTCTCTTCATTCACTGTGGACAATTATTTGTTTGAATGATTATATGTTGTCATGATTTTGGATTCTGATTTAGTTTAAAAAAAATCTGAATTTAAAAAATTGAACTCACCCACAGTCTGAAAATCAAATGGTGGATCGATGAGAATTTCAGTATAATTTTTCTTTGGTCCACTTAATGTTATGCCTGTGATACACTTTACATCATGGCCTCGATTCAGCAGTTCTTTGACGAATATCTGAATTTATTTCCAGTGACTGACACTGGTGCCAATACCAATATTTTATACCCATGTACCGCCGTTGCCAATGCACATAACATTAACACTACACGCAGTTCCTAAATAAATAAATTGCAAATTTGGTGAAATTTCAATAAACTGAAAAAAGTCACTGCATAGGAATTCAAAAAATAAAGATTTTTTTTACCATTGTTAAAAAATGTATCGAACAATAACTAGAACTTTGACTCATAAAATTTATTGAAACAAAAATTAACTTATCCACTCAATACTATTGCGACACAAGTTAGAAAGACACAACTGATTTTCGAGTATGCCGAACTATATTGTATATATAGGTATGATTTGTCTACCGGCTAAATGCCGCTCGTTGCGTACAGCTGATTTCGAGTGTTTGTATGTATTATTATAGATAGCTGGATACGACTCTGTTGTGTATATGTAGCGTACGGCACGACTTGCGACTTGTTGTGAAATATTTCCGAATGCGAATTTCACAACATAACGCAATACTTTATGGCAATAATACTTCACAAACAACAACAACTTCAATACATACACAGAATAAACTTTGTAGCGTTACTTTTCATATGCTTACGTTGTGTTGTTGTGATTCAGTCATCGTTTTCGTTCACATGTTTGTTCACACCATAATATATGGTCCTTCGCATGAATCGAAACGCATCACATACACACTTATTTTCAGTGTTTTATGCAATTTGACGCATCAAATGTTATTAAACTGATCAGTTGATGCAGTTTAACTTGAACTTGACAATGAGAATCAGTATCTTGTTGTGTTGGAATTGTGTTCTTTGTCTTTGTTTACACATTGATCTCGTGAAAATACTTTAAATCTCATGAATTTGAACGAAATATCACAGATTTCGGCCATTTTTGGTTGATTTATAGATGTGAACAAATATTTTAAGATATTTGTATAATCAGTAAAAAAAGGTTTGATGTTTTCTTGGTTCTTCGTTTTGTTGACATTTTTCGAGAGTCAGTTTCAGTTTTGATTCTATTTTTAGAAGAAAGATGTTCAAAATCAATTGATCATTATTGTGAGTTTTAAAATTTAAGAAGAAGTAATCGTTCCTTCAAATGAATAAAGGAATCTTAATTTTATGTGTGATCGACGTTGAACAGCGAGTAAAATGTAAAAAATAGAAGGAATAGAAAGCATTCTGATGCAAAATGACAAAAGAGACACTTACGCATCGTATGTGTTCGTTGCTATTGTCTGGAATAGTGGATAGGAGTGTAGCGTATAGTATTTTTAGTCATTGTTTAGTGGAAGCTACTGAATGTGTGAATAATAAATTCGAATTGGTCAAAATAGTAGTTGATTTTGTGTCTGTATATATTCTACTTAGTAAGAACTATTCATTGGTTTTGTGACATTCTTATTCGTGCATTGTTAAAAAAAATGCTTGTTATTAGCGTTGATGCTAATACTCCATACTCTTGTTATAAGTAATTCAATACTTAAATTTTAATATATTTTTCAATGATTTCTTGTCTTGACTGTATCAAAAGTCAATTCTAAGTCAATTCAAAAAATTTCTACGGAGATGAAGTTTTCCATGCAGTAAAAAAATGAATTTTTTTTATTGACATTTTTGCACAGGTTTTCAACGATTAAAAAAACCCACTGAAAATGGCGACAGAAGACGGTTCGAAAGGCCGAACGTTAGCAATCGCAATCGGTTGGCTTATATTAATTATAAGTGTGGCTCTGTTTTATATGGCGGCTGTGTTTATTCTTCCGGCATTAATTTATGGACAAACCATGATTCATGTTTACATCGTTTTCGGTAAGTTTGCTTATCGTTTGCTTTGCCCTTATCGATTTTGAATTGATTTCACCATTCGCTTGTGATACTTTTTTCTTAGCCTTCTATTTGCTGATCAACGTCAGCTGGATTTTTGGAGCTATGTTTGTAAAAATCTTGAAACTTCTTTCGTGTACTTTTAACATTAATTCAGTATATTTTTTTATTTTGACAGTATAAACCGGTGTTTATGTTGATCGCATTAGCTGGATGGCTTTTTCCGGCTGCTTCATGTCTATATTGTGTATTCATCGGTATTGTTAGAGGAATACAGCACCTCAAAGTTGAAAATCTGGAAGAAGATAAATTTCCACTTTTCAAGATCGTATGTTTCGCATTGGTCTTCATTGGCATTTATATCATCGCCGTATTTTGCTATTGCTCGGTGAAAAGAGCAGCCATTAGAAGGAAACCTAATACTATGCGATTAAATATAAAATATGAAGTTCCACAAGGCAATGTTGAACAGAATGAAGGAATAAGACTCTATCCCACACTAAATACTGATCAAATTTGAACAGGAATTAACATTCATCTTTTATTGATCTCGTCATATAGATCGAAAAATTACTCATTAATCAATAATAGTATAAATAATTCATTAATTAAAACACTTTATATGATTTCTCATTGTGAAATATGATATTGCAAATAAAATGACATATTTTCTAAAACTTTCATAATTAAGGCTATAAAAAAGATAGGTTTGTCACGTATTTTCTCGAGAAAAATGACGTTTTCCTTCGATTTTTTTGATAGTCTCATACTACTGCCTCTATCGACTCCGCCGTCATTTTTTTCACAACTTTTTATTGTTCTTCAATGTAGAGGATTATTATACCTTTCCAACGAGCCCTCAACCATAAATATCTGTCGAATAGGCCAGACACCGTGGCCGTCTGTATAAAACTCACCCGAATATTGAGATTTTTGATCAAAAATGTTCGACAAGCGATATCTTCACACCGAAGCCTTACAGGAGGTAAGTGTTCATATGGTTTTTTACTCGCCAGTGTCCAAGGAAGATTCCATATGGGAGAAATATGTATATGAACTTCGTGAACACTGGACACCCTGTATAATGTGGCGTGCGGCTTGCGACTTGTTGTGAAATGTTATATATGGATAATATCCTTCACAGGAATCGTACCGCATCACATACGCGCGCATTTTCAGTATTTCATGCAATTGGACGCATCAGTTTAACTACAACTTGATAATGAGAATCAGTCTCTCGACGCATTAGAATTGCATTTTTGTTTACTTACAAATATCGTGAAAATACTCTAAATCTTATAAATTTGAACGAAAAATCATATATTTTGGCCATTTTTGGTTGTTTTATAGATGTGAACAAATATTTCAAGCTTTTCTCATTTATATAATCAGTAAAAAAGGGTGTGATGTTTTCTTTGTTCTTTGTTTTGTTTCGAGAGTCAGTTTCAGTTTTATTTTGATTCTATTTTTAGAAGAAAGATATTCAAAATCAATTGATCCTATTTGTGCATTTCATTCGAATGAATAATCTGAATTTCAAGTGTAATCGTTAAACAACGAGTAAAATGTAAAAAAAATAGAAGGAACAGAAAGCATTCTGATGCGAAAGTACAAAATAGATGACATTGTACAGTGTACACCTGCGCAACGTATGTGCTCGTTGGCATTGTTTGGAATAGCGACTGGGAGTGTAGCGTATAGTATATTTAGTCGTTTTTTAGTGAACGCCATTGAATATGAATAGAAAATGAATAGAAAATACGAATTGGTGAAATTACCAGTGGATTTTGAGTCTATATATATTCTACTTTGTAAGAACTGTTAATTGGTTGCGTGAAATTTTGATTCTACCATTGTTAAAAAATACTTATTATTGGTTTGGATGCACCGCATACAACGCTTAATTCAATACTTAAATTTTACTATATTCTCCAATGTATTTTATGAAAAGTCAATTCTATGAGAATTAAAAAAAATTCTACGAAGATGAAGTTTTTCATGCAGTAAAAAATGAGAATTTTTTATTGAAATTTTTTGCATAGATTTTAAACGATAAAAAAAACCACTGGAAATGGCAACTGAAGACGGTTCGAAAACAAGAACGTTAGCAATCGCAATCGGTTGGCTTACATTAATTATAAGTGTGGCTCTGTTTTTTATAGTGACTCAGGCTATTTTTCCGTGGCTGGAAATTTACGGACAAATCATGCTCATCATCATTTGCTGTAAGTTTGCTCCCTTGAATTGATTTTACCACTCGCTTGTGATACTTTTTTCACAGCTCCATTTTGGCTGTTCAATTTTATATGGATTTTTGGGGCTCTATTTGTAAGTAAATCGATGAAAATCGTCATTTTTCTTCGAGAAAATACGTGACAAACCTATCTTGAAACTTTTTTCGTGTACTTTTAACAGTAATTCAATATTTTAAAAGTATTTTTTTATATTTTGACAGAATAAACCGATGCTCATGTTGATCGCATTAGCTGGATGGATTTTTCCGGCTGCTATTTGTCTATCTTGCGCATCCAAGCTCATTTTTGAAAATCCGAAAAAGGATAAATTGCTATTCGCATGTTTCCCAATGAGTTTCTTTGGCATTTATATCATCGCCGTATTTTGCTATTGCTCGATGAAAAGTGCAGCTATTCGAAGGAAATCTAATACTATGCGATTAAATATAAAATATGAAGTTCCACAAGGCAATGTTGAACAGAATGAAAATATTGATCAAATTTGAACAGGAATTCATTTTTTATTG